ATAAACTATTAACAAAGATAAATTAAAATGGACACTTAATATGAATTAACATTTCGTGAGGTTACAATACCATTAATGGTACAAAATATTTTTCAAGATTAACACGTACCTAATGTTGCGAGCATGTTTATGTCTTCTTTTAGTCTTTTCCTTCCGCACGAAACTGACTATACATAACGGATGAACACAATTCATCGTGTTCAGGAAAAAGAAAAAGGGCCAAAGAGAAATACAAGTTGTACAGCGGACCGATCGGGCGACTACCGAGGGTCAGCCTTCGTGATCGGTCTAATTTATATAAATCACGCAACGTTACTTCCCTTCTATTTGCTGCGACACCAAATAGATTTTTTGCTTCTTCTTTTCAATCAACTTTTATCTTACACGGCTCGTATTTCAAGAAAATCAAATCATTTAATCGTTAAATACACCGTTGAATAGGTAACGTCAACGACGCGGAGTTAAAATTGATCGAATAACTTCATAGTGACAAATTCTTTCGAGGTACAGAAAAATTTGGCATACGCTCGTGTTTGTTAGTGGTTGAAAAATCATTCCGGATAAAATTGCGTGATGGGATCGTTTGGGTAGAGAGACGAGTTCGTTCACAAGAGTGGAGACCTAAACCGATTGGGTGCTAATGGGATATCCACGGAAGAGGGACACGGTTTGCGAGAGTACTGCAAATTGTGTCGGATGTAAATTCCATGGTAGGAAAATCGCTCCGAGCGACTGCTCCCATTTGTGCAACGTGCGAGCCATAATCTCGTGGATGAAACGTTACGCTACCCTCTCGGGACTACCCATAAAGCACTATCTATGCCGACCGTCTATAAGGATTCGTTACTATTCGCTACATCTATGACTAAAAAATAGTTTCTAAAAATATTTATTTAAAAAAAAGTTATTAATTAAAAACATAAATTCAAACTATCAATTAAAGAAACTTGATTTCTTAAGGGACCGAAAGGAAATTGTCCCATAGGAAGTGACGTAGTATTCTGAGGAGAGCTTTTTCTTCGTCTGTTTGTTAGGCCAATTATTGTCACCAACCGCCGAGTTGCGTGTATTTGTCTTCGACAAACAACCGCTTTGTTTTTCCCTTAGAGATTCCTCGACAACCCCTTAACAACCGGGATGTAATTAAATCAGTAGATTGGATGCGGAAAAGGTTCTCTTAATAACGATTTACACCGGCTTTTCCATTCGCACCACGTTCCTTCTGCAGTATTTCCCTAACAACAACTTTGAGAACTCAAATTTTATTATTCAGTTAATTAGTATGGTATAAGATAAGAAACTTTTACTTTTTAAGCAATGAAATCGTTAATTAAGATCATTAATCTGATGATGTGGTAGCTTACAGTTCCCGAATTCACTTCTCTAACTATGTTTATATAACTCAAAATGTTATCGTAAAAACAAAATTAACTTAACATTAAAATTAAAGAAATATCTGGAAGCTTATTTATTAATGCTGAGTATAGTCAGTATCAACATATTAATATTTAAGTAATATCAATATATTGATATTTATGTTAAATTGAAGCTAAAAGTTTAAGCTTTAAAATGATATATAATAATTCACATGTATACAATAAATCAAAAAATTGTTGAGAAAACAATTTATTTGCTTTTATATAAAACAAATTTTTATAATTTTAAAAAAAAATTGAGGCTTATTTATAAATATTGAGAAATTATATTTATATTAAACTGAAGCTGAAAGTTTAAGCTTTAAAATGATACATAATTATCTATATATTTCATAAAGAAGTACTATAAAAATAATCAATTTTCAAAATGTTCTTTTTCAGCAACAATAAATAAAATTCTTAAAATTAAAATAATCAGTGACAGCTGATTTATTAATATTGAGTAACGATGTATATGCTAAATTGAAGCTAAAAGTTTACGTTTTTAAATGATATGTAATAATTCATATGTTAAATCCAAAGATTGTTGAGAAAACAGTTAATTTTTGTACTCTCTTATTGAGTAATATCTGCCCAACTGTCGTCGGACGATCAGGGCTGCCCACGTGGAAGAACCTGGTGAAACACCTTGTGATAAGTGCATAAATTATGTTGTTTCTCGTATCTGAATATCAATACTCCGAAGTTACCACCTGCTCATGAGACTCAGGACTGTAGCATAATAAATCCTAAGCAGCACATTGATTTGTTCGATGTAGAAGGGTTGTTGGGGTTTCAACGGTGCTTTCTTAATGATTGTGGGCAGGGAAGCCAGATTATTTTCGAACAACTCATCATTCGTTGAAGCGAAGACAGTGTCAGTTGCTTAGTTGAAAAGCAATGACAAGAGTGGCTCGCTCTATAACATTTCACTGTTGACGCGGTATCTGGTCGATCTTTCCCCGTCGATCTCGATAGCAGTAAAGTTTTGAAGGTAAAATCAACTTATATAGTTACAGAATGGCACCCAGAAACAGCCCTTTTCTAAAACCCTAATAGCATCCACTAGCTGACAGAGTCAAAGTATCAAAGTCTTCTCGTCTCCTTGTTGATAACGGCGTCCAACATTAAAGTGTTCTTCGTGGCTCCGTCTTTGTTACGGCTCAAACGTATCCTCCTTGAGTTGTCTCCTTTCGGATGAAGAATTCTTGAGCCCTGCTATGATCTTTGAGGCGCTCCGAGGACTATAAACATGTAGGAGACCAGCCGTCGGATGATAAGGGAATGAGTTTTGAATTATTCAACGACTTTGATAAGACGTTGTCGGGTCTGGCTGCTCATTTGATGTTGATTTAGGAGCCCTTAGTCTCAAGAAGGTGATTAGAGGATGGTGAAAAGGTTGGTCGGACTGAAGATTTTGATAAGCTCTACCTAGATTCTCTTCCTCTTATTGGACATCTTAGTAGTATGGGATGTCAAAGATGTCCTTACTTTCGCCCGAAGAGTCGGCGCCAGCTAATTGCACCAAACGCTGATTTAATAGTATGGCTCATCGCCACATAAGATGCTGTACGCTATGTTCATGATCTCGCATTTTTTACAAATTGATGGACTATTGCAGACCTCTAACAGGGCTCTAATAGTATTGTTGTGGTCTGACACTAATACATCTCGATTTATGCTGATATGCTGGAATGTCATCATCGGTATATTACTGTACTCAACATTGAAAATAATCTTTTTGAGTAACACTCTGTCGGATGATCTGAGATGGGATCAGGAGCTCTGCTACTGGCAATTGAAACCTTCCACGCCGATGATTGAGAAGAACCGCATGGAAACATCATGATATAAGTGCATATATTCTCTTACAATCTACTGTTACAGTCTTACTGTTGATGGAACGCAGAACCGCACCATGGTACATCCTAGAAATGTAATAGGGAAATCAGTTAATTCATCTGCTCCAAATTCAACCCCCAGGTAAGTCTAGCAGTCTGAAATAGATTTTGTCGGTAAGTTTTCGCTCCTATCTATCACAGAAAATTGAGAGATCTTGTTGGTGTTGAGCTGCAATCCGAATGAACCGAGCAAACCATAATTATGCTTACGTTGAGCGTTGTTTCCTTTCCGATCGATGAACACATGATGGTTGAAGCCAAACTCATAAATCATAAACAGAATGTAGATCGGTTCGTACTTCAGCGAGTAGGATGGAGCTGTCGTGTTTGGGATGACGATTGATCTGGAATTCGGAAATAATCCTGGAGCGGTTCTGGGACCATAAAAATGTTGAAGAGTTGACATAGGATGGCGACTGGAATGGCGATTAATGATTATGGTTCGTTGATCTGGCTGACAATTTCCTGGTGATTTTGTTGGTATGTAAATATCTGTTTAGACTGCAGACCTTAAAGAGCGATCCACATGGAACCTACCTTGCCTGGATGATGTTAGGCCGTTTCTTCTGGATTTCGACTAGTCCATAGATTCTGACGGAAACCTTATTCTCTTCCAGCCTATTTGGACACGTGTGTAGGCAATGCGTCTCTTCCTAGTATTCGTTCTTGGTGCCTTGGGGTGATGGTGATATCCTTAGTTTGGCTAGAGGAGTCATTCAAGGAGTTGCTTTAAACCTTCGTAACAATTTTGCACTGTTGTCAAACGATTTTTTTCATCTATATCACTGAGTAATAGTTGCTAAAACATCAGCATTTCCTTATTTTATTATTAACATATGAACTTTAAGTTATGTTTTTTTAAGTATAATGTAGGTGACTGTCATTGTGCACTTAAAAAGCGTACATTAACATTATTCACACGAGGACGAAAGGAACAGTGTTATACAGATGGATGATAACATTAAAGACAAAGTGTAAAAGAGGGGTGGTGTCCGCCTGTGTCTGTTTCGACGTTAAAAGCGACGAAAAGACTTCTCTACCAAAAGCGATCGCAGTCTGCTATCACTTGCATTCAAACTCGTAGATAAAACTGTTTCAATGAGACGAGATTTACAGTAGCAGATATATTATAACAAAATACCGATAAAATACCGCACCAAAAAATGAGAAACTAAATTAAAGAGTTTTTGAAGAATTTTTTACATTTTACGATTTCTTTTTATCATTAAGTCGTTTCACCGACTATTAAAAAATTATTAAATTAATGAAGCAACTTGTTTTAAAGCATATTTTAAAATTATATTTAATGCTACAATGAATTTTTTATTTTCATTTAGAAAAAACCACTTTAAAACTAACGTTACTTCCGTCGTTTAAATAAATGAAACAAATTAATTCAATCCTCGTTCGTTCCTTTTTAAGAACTTTCAGAGTGTAAGGGTGTAATTTAAACTGCTACTGCGAAGACTTAAAATGCTCACCAAGAAATAAAACATTAGAAAACACGGTAAAGAAACGCAAAAACAACCAAAAAATCGCGAAAGCAAAACACCTTGCTTTTTTGTCTATAATGGGTTGGTCTCCGATTCGAGCATCGCGACGTCGAACTTTTCGCGGGACGAACTTCTCGGCATCGCCGTTCGTCGTCGTGGTGGCGCTGGAGATGTGTTCAGCGGGCCCCGCCAGTATCTCGCGAACTGTCGTACCGTATCGTGGTGGGTTTTCAGCTTCAGCATCAGTAACGGTTTTCCTGACGATAATCGACATCGGGACCAACCCCAAAACCGCATCCGAATTTTTTTTCCCAGTTTTATCTTCGTCCGGTTGCCCGCGTCGCGTTCAAAGTTGACCGATCAAAAGTTTTTCCTTTTTTGTTCGTCTTTTTTTCTGTTTGAAACTTTAGAAAGAGTGATGTTTAATGTTACGGTGACGATGTGGATGGATTTTCTAAAAACTGACTTGTGATCGTGATTCGGTTCTTGAGTTATTTTGATATTTAAGGTGATTAAGAAATTTTTTTTAAAAGTAATTGTTTAAATAATTGTGATTGAGGATTTTTTACGTCAAGAAATTGTAAGATATTGATGATAAATGTAAGTAAATTATTAACTTTTTTAACTTTCCATAATTTCATGAGTGTAAAGTGCTCTTAAAATGTAATTTTACTGATAAGGTGGTTATTCTTCCAAACTAAATAGCACTTCTTTGATAAATAAAATATTATTGTTTTGAGTTAATTCAAGACAACTTTATTATAATTAGCCAAAATCAACTATTACGTAACCTTTATTATTAGATTAATCTCTAAGTATTAATGATTAATCGATTATTTTATTGCACTAGTAAACTTAATCGTTAGCATGTGAATACCAAATGTGAACAAGCTATTCAATTGTAAACACGTAGATCAAGAGCGATTCAATTAATTGACTATTGCTATATACCTATAGACAGGATTGATTGGAACACTATACACTAAATGCATTTGCCTTGATCTATTGATTTAGTTTGTTGTTTGAATACAAATCAATATATTACTACTGTACTTGCTAAATTTGTTGACATATGAAGCATTAAGTGGAAACCCACCGTTTAAACAGATGTTGATCAAAAACTCATAAAATGTATAGAAAGACTTCATTAACACTTTTTCATTTTGATTCTGAATTAGTGTAATGTCAAACGTTTGTAATTATCAGTTGAAACGTTGTACAACTTTGAATAATTAAGTGTTAATTTGCAGAGGTTCTATTTGATCTTAACAAGGGAGTGGGGTGTATATAGACAGATGTTAGTACTTTATACTCAATGATTACTAAAATTTAACGAATGTAAGCTTGACTTTGCTCTACCGCAACTTCTCTAAATTACAAATATTCGACTTGAATGAGCAGAGTGACCCACTTGAATACAGCACTAACTGAAATGCACTAACTTTCGCAAATAGCGAATATAGTGATTTTTATTATTTAAATTCTATGGTCTAACTAGTTTCAGTTAATATCAGTTACTTTGGATTTATAAATACAACCCCCTATATATTATTTCATTATTGAAATCTACCTTTTAAAACGAATTCATACAACTGTAATTTAGACCATTTAACCAGGGTTTAATTTAACTACCGTGGTAGTTTCTGTGAGCCTTTTAACCCGAAAGCCAAGTAAGATGGCTAACCTTACCTGTTTAGTTCAAGTTTTTGATAACGAATTGATAATGCTAGAAAATTACTTCATACTGACTTGGTTGAAGATGAGGAGAACGAAAAGAGTTAATTTAGCAGTTCGTAGAACTATACTAAATGATTCCGAAGTTCTTCTTCTTAAAGTGTCATGACCGCTTCGGTGGTTGACTGTGATGTTGGCAAGTTCATTATTTTGTTCACGCTAGCGCGAAACAGTTGTGCTAGCGACTTGCAAAAATACCCTATTATTCTCCCCATTATTTTTCCCAGTATTATCCATTCAGTTGTGACGACGGTCTTGTAGACCGAACAATTTCTTAATACATTTAATTGGTTTTTATTATGAGAATATTACTTTTAATATAATATGGAGTAATAACGGATCAACGATTTGGTATATAAAAGTAATTATACTTAATACTGGAAGATTATACTATAATAAAAAATGTACAGCTCAAACAATCAGAAATAACACAAATATAAATTGTTGAATCTAACGTAATCTTCTATTCTTATGGTTTTTGGTGCTTAGAAACAATAATATTACTAATATTGTTCCATAATAAAGAAAAGTTCTCTTGTAACATAGAATAAAATTCTTATTCCTAAATCTAAGTACGTCCTAATAATTTGACCTCATGATTCTGGCATATTTGAAGAATTGTATAACATGCAATGTTATACAACAGTATTTAGTTTTTCCATTTTGCTATGAATCGCAATGCTCACCCACTCGACCGACACTTCTACGCTCCTCAAGTTGTTCTTCTAGTGATTCTATACCACATATCTCACAAATTCTTAGACGCAAAGATTTCCATAAGTACATTCAGTTAGCACGTACTCTCAGTTGAGAATCCATCAAGCTCAATGCTAAATTTTCAAGGAAATGAGCCTTAGCACCTTTTTATTTGTATTGGTGCCGAATATCATTTACCACCTTCCGGTGGCTCTTGCACAATTATAGTTAGAAGAAAGTTAGTTCACAACAACCATTCAATGTTTTGTTCTATTGTAATCAATAATTATTTCTGGCTTGTCAGTTTCTGGTTCGATTTCTGGTTGAAATTACAAGAACGTTTTTATTTTATTTGGAATATACCTACGCAATTTGGCCGGAAGCCAAAAGTTACTGCTCCCAATAGGTCTACTATTTTTCTGTACAAATTCCGTTGGAAGCTCTCTTTTATTAGCTCGTATTGTTCCTATTGTCGTCCAGTATTGAGCTGTTTGTCAGCTAATTCTATACATACTTGTAGACCATCTGTCCATTGTGACATTTGTGTTTGAATCACGTATTGGCTCACATAATCGTTCAACAACGGATCATGCGCTGTTACTCTGTTGAAATGGACCACAGAGAAAATATAGCATCTTAGCATTTTGATTTTTAAATAGTTGTTGAAGTCGTGTGTACAAAAAATTTGCCTCATTTTTATTTTATTGCTAACAAATACGGAGATTTATAACAATTATTAATAATTATTAATTTTAAAAGTAAAATGATAAAGTGATTAATTTTAAGATAATTATAATTAGAGATAAAGAAAATAATTGTATTTTAATTAGAATTTCAATAGTTAGTTTGAATATTTTTAAAAAGTGGCTTAAAAATAAAATTATTCACATGTATAAAAAATATAAAGACGGCAAAGGTCTCCCTCAAAAAGAAGTATTGCTTCCTGATAGTGAATCGTTGTCAACTATAGACTGGAACGTCACTGGATCACATATGTAATACATAGATCACACATATAATGATGCATCTCTCGGAAGATAGCAACTTCAACAATTTTGGAAGTCAAATACGCTTTGTCATGTAGTATACAAAATAATCGTTGTTTAAAAAAATGTGGAAGTTACCACAATTAAAAAATTATTGAAAAATTGAAGGAAGACCATGAAACTGATAGTGATGACCTTTGAATGCGTTCCAGCAGTTGAAAAATTCAGGGTTGTGAATAAGTGGATTAGAAGTCGATAGTGTAACCAAAGAAATGCCTGAACGAGTTCGCAAGTACTGAAATTCATTTAAGTTTTATGAAACAGCAAGATGATACCGACTAAGTAAACATTTTAAAAATTCGTACTTTGATAACAAATATTAAAGAAAAGATAACGAGAAAAGAAGAATCTTTAACAAAATCAGGAATATTGAATATCTCTCTAATATTTTCACTTCTTTTATAGTCCTGCAAGATGTATCTTGTTAATAATCTAATGGCCTTCATCTCCGCTGTTCTTAGAATTCTCTTTGTGGTAGCATTTTCTGCTCTTGTCTCTATACCGTATGTCATAACTGGTCTTACATAGGTCTTATACATACACCATGGTTTCAGGTCACTTGATATCAAAGCTACGTTCGTTGTTTGAACAATAACTTCTTCTTACTATAACTGCCGTAATTTGCAACGGCGTGGCTCCCTTACTATTGTTAGAAATTTTGGTTTTGACGCTGAGATATATTATATATTAAGATATTATCTTCATCTGCCGACAATAGTTCTGCATAGTAACTTATTTTCAGTTCATCGTTCCTGATCTGATTATCCTTTTCAACTCTTTTCACGTCAATTATTATTTCGTCCATGATCAAATTGAAGACTGCGGATCTTAGATTGCTTCCCTGTTTTGTATCAACTTTTATGTTCTTATCTTATCCAGTAATTGGTGTTCCACTCCTCGGCAACATTTATTATATCGCGCTGCTCTTTTTTATATTTCAGGAGTATAGCAACATCGAGGAACCTCACTTTAACAAATGCTTTTGTAACATTAACGAAACACATGTACACTATTTTAAGTTGTATTCTCTTAATCCACTATAATTCTCAGAATCTTTTTTGCACTCCTGCCTGAATATTGGTATTGTTATGTACTGTAAGATATGAAGTAGTTAATTGTACATTAAACACAGTATTAACTAAAACTGTCAATAGTTAGTCGTGTTTTGAAGAGTTTTGCGAATTTAGATGTAATGAAAATAGGGTACGGTGATAGAACAAGATCTTATTATTGTACACCTGTTAAAAAAAATATTCCTAAATCGTTTTCCTATACGTAAGGCAACTCTCAAAAACTATAAGGCGTTTTGAGGAAATTGGAAGCGTAAAATATGAATATCAAACAGGTCGACCTAATAACTAACATAGCATTATTAAAGATACACATCTATGCTCACGCAGATATGCACAAGTTCATGATGTAGACAAGTCTTCAATCTTACGTGTATTATATATCAATACATTTAAACCGTACAGAATTCAGATAATGCAAGTTAACTGAAGGTAACTTTAATCGTAGATGAAGACCCGTGGTAAAAAATGAAAATTGTACCTATACTGAGAAACTTATTGAAAGCCATTTTAAATCAGATATGGTTTCAAGAAAACAGAGTTTTTGCGTAAATTTTTGGTGTTATCTAGATGAGATATTCCTTGACAATGGATTAGTAGACGACGTCGCATTGAATGAGCTTTTCGTTTCACGGAATTCAAACCTAATGAGTATTTTTATTGGGATACTTGAAAAGTCGAGTATAAAACTAAAAATAGATGTAGTAATGCAACGAATTATCAATGATTCACGATTAATTTCCGGAGAATCATGGAGGAATGTAATGGTTGCATTAGCCATCGATTAGTGTACCGTCTAATTAACAACGGTGCTCATTTTCATCGCTTAATTAAGTACGCATTATGTATTTTAGCAATTTGGTTGTTTAAATTACTACATTATATTTAATTGAACTGCATTAAAAATTTATACATCATTTCAAATTTAATAAATAAATTTAATTTTCACCTATGTATGTGAAGTTAATCACCAATGTTTTCCAATCCCCAATTATATAGGGTTTTGACATATACAGTGTTTTGATCATAATCATAACAAAAGAACCTATTAGGC